GCAGAAGTAAAGGGAGATCAAGAAAGGGGTCCAGGGGAGAAGCTTGGTGACTTACTGCCTTATGGGATGGTGGAAGATTGAAAGCAGGATCAGGAACAAGTGGATGAGAAATTTGGACTGGATCTGAGGTGGCTAAAAAGTGAGCTGCAAGTGAGAAATCTGGTGAGAAAAGCCTGGTGGTGAAGGGAGAAGGTTCTGGGATCAAGGCTGGAGGGTTGGAAAGTGAATAGAATGGGCCACCAGTTGCTTGTATCCAGGAGCTGGGATGATCTCCAATAGTCTGGGGTTATCCCTTATGCACCCAAGAAATCACCCACAAAGTGAATGGCTCATTCCTCTTAAGCGCTGCTGTGCAGACAGGATAGCTTCAGACACCTTCTGCTATCTTGAGTGGCTGAGATCAGCCCTGCAGGACTGGAAACTTCAGTCCTGCAGCTAAGCCACCAAGATGGCACTTCTGAGGGATTTCCAAATTGCCTTTTTAGAGAAAGCTATAGGACAGTACATGAGAAACCTTTAAAAGCTAAGTATGACACAATAAATCTTTCAAAGTGTAGGAACAATTAAAATTATATATGCAGCCCTAACTCACCCTCCCCTTTTTTGTTTTTCTGCAGTATGCCATGGATGAACTTATCTGACAGTTAGGAAAAGCAGCAGAGAAAGATGAACAGATGATGTATCGCAAGGCTGGAGAATTAGGAATAAGCATGCAGGAAGAGGAGGGAGGGCTTCCTAGATGATATATTTGAATGTTGTCCTACACAGAGGGGTCTGTCCTTACCCTTTTCTCATCTGCAATACTTAGTGCAAACACCAAGACCAGGCTGGTTCATTTATGGCTACTTTCTATGTCTGGAGAGCATTTGATTTGGCATTCCAGCAGTCTCCCTTTACAAGTGCCACTTGTGACTCCGTCTGAGCTGTGCACTGACGATACAAGTGGCTGCACAACGCTGAGCTCTCTGACAACCCAGGCTGTTGTGACTTAGCTTGGCCCTCTAGAATTAGTGTGAATGCTGGACTTATTTAAAGTCTTGTTGCCTCAGTTCCCCTTTCAAAAAATGGGAATAACACCAACCCACCTCTTGCATGAGTGTTATGAAAATGAATGAATTACTATTTATGAAGTACTGTAATGATGAGTGCCCATGAGGAACAGCCCATGAGGAAATTAATTATTCTATCTTTGGAACAGAGTTTGAATAGTGAGCAGTAAATAGGATGTAGGGCCATTACAGTGAATAATGAGAATGAAGAAGATGAATTGCATCCACTCTGTTCAGTGAATGAGGCACGGGCTTGATGAAGAAAACAGGAAATATTGTGGTGGTATGGTAGAAGACCATCACAACATGTATGGTAGAAGAAGGTAACTCTGCCATATAGCAGCTCGGAAATGCTTGGGCCCATGTCACCATCACCCCAAACCCTTCCCAGCTCTGATGATGGACATGTACCACACAGCCTAACAAGCCCTGTGAGCTCACTTTCCCTCTCCGATGGTTCCTAACACAGTTTCTGAGTCCAGCCAGCCCCAGCCTCCTCCCATCTGACTCACAGCTCCAGTTTCCTCGCTTGGCCAGGCCCTGACTCAAAAACTGTTTCAGCTTCCCTCCCTTCATCCACAGCCATTAACCCCAGTTCCTATAATAACAGGAAAAAGCACATTCCTAACACAGAGACACCTTCCTCTGCGAAAATCCTAACACAGCTCAAAACCAAACGATAGCAGGACTTCAAAAAAGACAGGGAATAATCAGAAAATATACACAAATATATGCAAATATGCAAATATACGTACATTTTCTAGCCTTGGTAGCAGCTATAGGTTTACAATGACATAAGAAACTTTCCAAAATTAATTCAATGTGATTTCAGTCCAGCATTTATTTGGAGTGATAGAGATTAGAAATTACAACTGAAAATAGGATTTCCTCCTAAAATACCTCAGCAATCACAATCACAATATTTGGCAGTCCTTATCCATCTTGCATACTATTGTTAATACTGGCAGGATTAAGAAAGAGAATTCAAATGCCTGTTTCCTGGCCTTGTAGCTGGAGGGTAAATATATCTATATGATACTCTATTTTTTTAACGAAATACCTCAGCAGTAAGAACCAGTCAAAACCAAATCCAAATCTAGCTCATCCTAATTTCAGGTATGGCAAACTTTAAATAAACCAGTGAAAAGAATCTATGAGTACTTTTTAACTTGCAAGCTCAGGTCTGAGAACATATTTTCAGAGCAGTTCCCCATTTGTTTCATTACCTTTCAAGCCAAATGCCTCTCAAGATAATCTAAGGCAAAGGATAATCCAATATTTGTAATTTTAGGTGCTGAATTTGCATCTTATTTCTGAATGAATTTCTTAAATGCAAGATTTTATAAGCTTTAAAATTGTCTGCAAAGGATTAATGACTATTTTGGATGTTTGGAATTAATGGTTCTACTGTGGTCAGTGAGGGAAAAAAACTTAAAAAAGAAAAGAGAAACATTTAGGAAGGAATATCTTGTAATGCTATGCAAGCCCTTCTGTGAAAGGGAGGGCAAACCCACAGCTTTTGGCTAATGCTGTTGGATGGGAGAACCACCAGACCAGCAGCTTCATTCCCCTCGACTGTTTAGAGGAATATGTGAGTTGATGCTAGTGCCATCTTTTATGCAAGATGCTTGAGAAGAAAGACATGAAAGAAGAAAAAAGGAAAAGGAAAGACACCCAGCTTCATCACTCCAAACCATTACTTCTGCCTTGGCAAATAAATAACCAGAAGGAAGGAACACAGCAAACCAAGCTGGGGCTCTTTTGTTCGTCCACCTTGACAAAGATGGAGCCAGAAAGAATAATTACCAACCAGCAGCAGGTGTTGCTGTTCATATGGAGCAGTGGAGTAGCTGTGCAGTCAGGATCAAAGATCAGAGGGCCTTTAATACTGTGGCACTCTGCTTTCTGGTTGTGCACTGCAAAATCGGTGTTAGGTGGCACACACGGAGCTCCATGTAACCAGTGTCACACAAGCAGTGCTCACACCTTCAGCATGTGATTGCGATGTTAGCATTATAGGCTGAACTGCAAATTCATAAACTCTTTTGATCAGTTCTTCCACAGACAGCCCAGACAGAGTTACCACTATTCCACTTTTACATGACAGCCTGTAGATGTACAACTAAGATGGCATGGTCTGCTCCAAGCAGTACATTTAATCCCCTACCCTTGTGAATAAATAACACTAATGATCTGTCAGACCCATCTGCATTTCATGCATTTCACTCCTGTAACACCATCCCAGCAGGCAGCATAAGCTTCATCTTTTGTCATGGAGTCTGTGAGGCTGGTCAGAGTCTCATCACTGGGATGAAGGTCCAGGTAGTCCCAAACACTAGAACAGGCAGAAGGGAACACAAATGTTGAAGGGTTTTCTGTCTTACTGCTAATGATGGGGCAAATCTCTTCTGAGAAATTGATCTCAAGTATTGTCACAGCATCTCTTGGACTGATCTACTCAGGAACCACTATTATTGGGAGAGGCTGTAGAAAAAGACTTCATGGATGACCTCCAGGCTTGATGACTTTTGCTGTGACATATCCTGTCATAACATGCTACAGAAAAAAGACCACTTTGTGACATTAATTTCACTGACTCATCACCAGGAATGTGTGAGCAAGGACATGAAGGAAGCTAGTCCATCATCAAAGAATCCTGACAGGGTGAAAATCCAGGACTCCTTTGCATCCAGGGTGCATGACCTTGGCATCATCTAATCCAGCCAATTCACCAGTATATTGATCTACACATATTATTTACTTGTTCCAGTGCAGCAGTGTGCTGCTTGATATGACTGCTGCTAGTCCCTATTTCATCTCAATTAAACTCCCATTCTGATTCCTATGCTGCATTGAGGGTTGGAGCAGAAGGATAAGCTTCTTGTAAATGACAAACATCCTGAATCAGCCATGAAAGTGTGCCCTGGCAGCTAACCATAAAATTGGTTGGGTTGGCAAGAACCTTAAAAATCTACTGCCATAGGCAGGGTGCACTTTCCACTAGACTCAGCTGCTTAAAGCCTCATCCAACCCAGCCTTGAACAGTCCAGGGATGAGGTATCCACAGCTTCTCTGGTCAACCTGTTCCAGTGCCTCATGACACTCACAGTAAAGAATTTATTCTTCATATCTCCTCTAAACCTACTTTTTTCAGTGTAAAGCCATTACCTGTTGTTCTGTCACAACATGCCTTTGTGAAAAGTTAGGCAAATTTTCCCTTAGCCACTAGGTATAGGACACAACTGTACCACTGACATCGGTTTTGGTTGTTTCTTTCTTTTCTCTCCCCTTCATTGTTCAAAGCTTTAAGGAGTGAGGCCATCATTCCTTTTACACTAAGCTGCCAGGTTGCTAATGTTCCCATGGATGGCTTCCTATATCCTCCAGATGTTTCTAGGAACAATATGAGCTTGGCAGGGTGACACCAGAGGTAAGTGGGAAATAAATCAGCCAGTGGAATGGGTGGCTGAGGTGGCGCCTGGAGCAGCAGCTACTGCTCCAACTTGTTGTGGATAAGCACTAGAGCAGGAGAACTACAAATTCAGCAGGATCTCTGCTGAGCAGGGTCCTGGCTCCTCAGTGGATAAAGGAAGGTGGAGCAGAGTGAAGGTAGGAAGCACAAAGGTGTGGAAATGAAGCCCGGGAGGAAGCAGGGGAAGAGGTAGGTAGGAGGCGAAGGTGAGGGACGGAATATGAAGTTAGTGACGGACAGAGATGAGCAGCAGCGGAGCGAGGGGACAGCAGCAGCAGCAGCAGCAGGGGTGCCCTCTCGCCTTGCTGCAGCCCCGTGGTGCCTGCGAGCAGCGACGGGCGGCAAGGTGACCAGCAGCAGGGCCCCGCTGCCTCCGTGCCGCGCCAGGAGCGCTGAGGGCCGCCGCAGCTGCGGGGCAGGCCGCAGGCAGGGGCTGCGCGCCCAGGGCCCCGCGGCCTGACGCGGCTTGGTAACCCGACCCACGGCAGCACGGGCAGCCGGAGAACGCGACACTTCTCTGTCATCAGCCTGGATGAAGAGAGAGAGGTGCCTGGGTAACCTGGAAGGTGCTGCCTCTCTCTGTCGGAGAGTGGGGACAATGCAGGAGGTGGCTTTTGCCCGATCTGACAAAGAGGAGGAAAACCAGCTGGGTTCCCAGTCAGGGCTCCAAGCAGGTTTGCTGCCAGAAACCAGGCATCAGGGATTCTGCACTGGGGAATTTCGTCAATGTCTGTGTATTTAGTCAGATTTTCCTGTAATAAAACTACATTCTAGGCACTCTGATTTTGATAACATGGGAACTGGCTCCTAATTTATGTTTCCAGAGCTATTTTTCCTGATCCTGAAGGAGCTGCTTCCCCAATATCTTTCATGAATAAACCTTCATCTTGTCTTTCAGCACTTTTTTTTTCCCCCATAATTTTTAACCATTGTTTCCAGTGCCCTTCTCCCTGGACTGTGCATAGGCACAGTGGCCTGGGTTTGTAATTATGGCAAAAACTTGTCTCATGACTAGGCGATGACTAGAGATAATTCCCCAGAAGAAACACCTACAGAAGAATGCCATTTCTGCACTTTTCCTCTCCTTTTGCTTGGATTCATCAGGCTGCTGCTCATCCTTTGCTTACTATTTTTAACCCTTCAGCTGCATCTTTTCTTTTGAAGTGAAATAATTCTAACTATTAGAGTCCATTTACAATATTAAAACTGCTGTATTTGCCATAATACTCCCTAAAGTCCTAAAGTGACTATAATTCACAAATTATCAGCCTGATTGCTTATCTCTGAGTTTGTCAGTAAAAACAGTATGTGGGTCTGACTCATTCTGTATGAACAACAAAAATATCTGAACCTCTTCCAGAAAAATGGCAGGAGGTGTTGTGTTTCAGTATGATTTTAGATTAAGATGCACCTCCACTGGAGAGGAAATGCAAAGTCCTCCACTCAGCGGGAAAAATCGCTGGAACTCCATCTTTTCTTTTGGGTCAGTTTGCTTCATAGCTTAGTGCCTCAATGGCAAATCTAGATGATGGCTTTTTTTATGGTCAGTATTTAAGATCTAGGGATTCCATTCTCAAATATTCATGACATAATTTGTATATAATTAGAATAAGGCTAACATACTTTCACAAAAGCACAACATGCATTTTAATGTTTTTCTTGATTTTCTTTTCTTTTTTCTTTTTCTTTTTTTTTTTTCCAGATGTCTGCATTAGAGGATAAAAGAGCTAAATGAAAATAACTTATGTACAGTGAAAACTGGACTACGGCATCTTCTGTCACAAGTCATGCATCTCCTCAGGGTGAAAAGCTTTTCACATCACAAGACACATGTTTGACTGTGACTTATCATTTCCAGGTTAGGAACATACTTGAGTTCCCTGACGTGCTACAGACCATTCATCATTTCAACCTGTGCTACTCTTGTTTTTAAGCTAACTTTTTTAGTGCTAGTGAATTTGATTTAGAGACATCAGCAAAGGAGTGACACGGCTTCCCTAGCATGGTAAGTGCTGTATTTCAGTATGAAAATTGAAATACAAAAAATACAAAAAATATGAAAACCTGAAATTTACTGTGCCCTCACCTCACAGTGCGAACACAGAGGTTCCTACAATGTGCCAGTTTTTATGAGTCTGTCTGTGTGCATGTGGACATACCAGGCAACCTGGGCCACAGTATCATGCTTGACTCTGTGAGTCAGCTGATGCATGAGCCGAAGGTGAAAAAAATGCTGTTGCTCCAGTTAGGAAGCAGCAACCATAAGTCACCCTTAGGCATCCTCGTCTGGGGAGAAGGGAGAATGACACCGTAGCCGTGGAACGACCAATTCTCCTTGAGCTGTAAGAGCAGAACAGCTAAGGTGTCCTCTGGGGAATCCTCAACAAATTCAATGGTACTTTCAGCTGGCTTTCGAGTGACTCTGCGTAGCTGCTTAGCTGTAGCTCCTCTGTGGGACTGAGACCAAACTGTGCACGTGTGTGTGGGTGGGGGGGGTAGTATAGCTTCTATTCACAGCAAAATTAGCAGTTCCAGAAGATAAACAAGGATTAACTTTTCACCTTTTTTT